TGTAATTGTTTGTTATGGTTTCGGGAATTGTTGTCGTTGAATCGAAAAGGGTAGTATGTATGACTTAGGCGTTGATTGATGAATTAATGTGCTTGATGATATTTAGAACGTTAATGTTAACCTATTGGTGTTTGATCATGAGATTGTTGTTGGTGTGACGCTGAAAAACGAAGCAGGTATGAATATGAAATTTGTTGTGTCAGACGGTAGGTGGTACCGCCGGGACGGTACCAAGCTACCGTCACACTTTGTTGATTTTTTTCGTCTCTGCCGGTAGCTACAACCGTACGGTACCAAGGTACCGGACGGACGGTAGGCCCTACCGCCTGGTCGGTAGTTGGCTACCGTAGCAGTCCTACCGAAAGAGTTCATTGATTCACACGGTACCCCTGGTACCGTATGACCGGTACCAAGGTACCGTATGGACGGTACCCCGTACCGTGACAGGTACCGTCTGGTACCTGTTGCCGGGTCTGTCGATCTGTGTTTTCGTCAAGGATTGATTCCGAGACTTTGTGTATTGCATGACGGTAAACATGGGTGTGTATTCCCAGTGTTAGACCGCTATTTGATTATGTTAGTTATCTTGTTAAATGAATTGTGGATTCATGGATGTTGTATTATGTATTGATTAATGAAGATTGGGTACATCACTTAGAAGAACTCTAGGAAATGATCTGAATGGATTAATGGCAAGGTATGCCATAAGTACGGTTAGTTAGAGCCATGTGGTACCTGCTGGGTCCAATGGCTGTTCGGGTAAAACGTGTACACGGAGATCCAAGAACTGTCGTTCCGAAGGGGACAGGGATCTCACCCACCCAACGAGGACTTCCGAGTTGGTTTGAGCATGACCTACGTTCCGAAGGGGAAGGTCATGACTCCATAGGAAAGTCAAATTCAGTTAAGCCTTAACCTAGCATAGGTTAAGAGTCATGTATGATAAGAAAAGTAAAGTAAACTAAAAAGGAAAGTTCCTAATACATACACCGATGTTGTTTGTATTTTATGAACTGTTATGATGTTTATTATGCATGTTATATCTTGTATGAGGTATGATTGTTGCCAAGCATGTTGTGTGCATGATACCATGTGAAAATTATGGATTAGTGGATTCGCCTATGTGTATGTTCGAACTGTTAGATATTATTCACTTAGCTTCAATGCTGAGCGTGTAGCCCTTTTTCCAATTTGCTACACGTAGGTGGTTGTGGTAGATTGATTCTGAAATCCATCCCGGAGAGCAGCATGATGGAGGAGATGTACGGATGTAAGGATTTAATGTTGGATTTAATTATAAGGCTTCCGCACTGTTTGTATAAACTCTTTAATGTAATTATCAAATGATTTTGAATTGTTAAGTTTTAAATTAAATGTTTTAATTTATTGGAAAATATTGTATGTGGTTACCAAATTAGTAGCAACCCGGTTCGCTAACCTATTTATTCGGGTTATGCGGGTTGGGGTGTTACATTTTGGTATTAGAGCATATGGTTTTAAAATCGGTCATTGGACCATTGCAAAGTACTATTTTGGAAGGAAATAAATGAAAATAATATTATTTTGATAATAATAGCAATGGCAAAAGTTATTCCGAGTACTGCATCTGCATCCTCCATGTCAGCTCTGCCTCCCGGGAAGGTAATAAGTTATTATGGCTTAAATGGTTGTATGGAGCTGATTGCTCAAGTTACTTGAACTAAACTGATTCTTCGAATAGTTGTGCTGAGCTGATTGCTCAAATACTTGTAAGAAGCAGGTTGCTTGAATGTCTGTGTCAAGTTAGGTTGACTGCTGGAATATCTGTGTTGAGCTGTGAATTGTTGATTATTGTGCATATTGAAATGCTACAGTCTAAGGTAGAAGTTCACATCATGTAGATGGAACCTACTACTATAAGATGAATGTTAGCATAAACTCTTACAACGAGAGGCTAAGTCGCAAAAGAAAAGAGTGTAACCATAGTACACATTAAAATATCTTGTCTAGTATTCGATTATCTCATTTGGTCACCAGAATAGATAACCAAATTCTGAAGGGGCTGTAGACCTAGATGGATGAGAGTGTCTTATTTTGGTGTCAAACGGGAACGACCGTATAAAGGTCAAAGAGAACTTGTTTGATTAATAAAGAAAGCAATACTTATCACCAGCCCATCATAGTGTAGTGTTTTGGCTGGATACAAATCAAAGAACTTAATGAATAGTCTATCTCGAAAGACGTTACGTGTAGACGTACCTCGTGGAAAAGATGAAATGAATGAATCGGACTCGAAAGAACGACACGTAGAAGTATGTTTGGCCGTTTGCAAACACATAGTTGAAGGGCTCCTGACCCGTTACAAAGTCTAATTAGCAGATATTAGTGACACTGATAGTGATAGTGGTGACGTTAGTAGAACCCCCCATTTACTTTCGTTAGTATGACTCAAAGAAATTGTTGAGAAATAACTTTATTTAATCAAGAATGAATGAGTTTAATCTTGACTATGCCATTGAAGATTTTGGGTTACGACTCGCGAAGGGTGAACCTACTCCTAGATCGATGAATGCATGTAATGTCGAATATGTCACTATTAATGTCATGCCAATAAGTTGAATGCCACTTGAAACTTTGGGACGAACCCCTGAATGCGCGCCAATAACATGAAGTTATGATATCACTACATACCGTTTGAAAAGAGTAAATCGCGATAATCTCGAATACTGAACTACATCGAGTACTCTGACCAAGAACGACCCACCGAGGGTACGAAGCTGAAGCAAACATAAACACGACGAATGCGCGTGATGCAACTCCACGAAGACACTCCATCCGAAAGATTGAGCTCACATCCTGACGTGACTTGATCGCGGAGAATTAACAAGAAGAATCTTGTTATTAACATCACGCGAACTACACGAGCCAAGTACGACGACGAATGACAACCAGGTAGTACCGACGAGTACGACGCATGAACCATTAGACGACAGGTATGAAACCACGAAACCTGAATAGGCAATTGACAACATGTGGGCTAAACAACGGATTGCATTAAGCGAATGCGAGACGTATATAACATGCAAAAGAACGAGTGTTGTCGCAATTTCTAACAAAGTACACTGACGTGTAAAACAAACTTGCTATTGATGGATGAATCTTGATGGAACGTGTCCCACAAGAGACAAGCCGACAACTAACTATTCGAAGTGTGACATCTCTCGAAGTTAATCACAAGCGTATGTGGATCGTATTATAAAGGGGTCCTGAAAGACTTGCCCGAGAAATGCGTTGAAGGCTGACATTCTTTAAGAAGTAATTCTTGAAACGCCTTGTTGAATGTGTGATTGTACAAACGTTGAGTTCAAATGTCGTGAAAGTTTATCTGTATTCTACACTTGTACGTTGATTACACTGATTGTTCTTCACTTTGACCCATTTACGGTGGTCAAGTTCTACACATGAATGGAGATGGTATATCCGTAACGAGTTAACAAAACCTTTTACCAAAACCAAGCGATGACGTACCCGTAAAGCTAGCAATGTCTTGTGTGGCAAGAAGTTGATGTAATAATGTTGACTTTGACTTTTAAACTCGTACTTTGTGAAACATCAAACTTAAACGTAATAATGAATTTGTTTTGAAGAAAATGCATTTATGAAATCGTCGTGATCTTACGCAACTAGTTTGAACGTCTATGCAACTCCTGAGGAAAACTCGCTGCAGACCTCAACGATTAAGATTCTTATTCTATCAATAACGAAGACACGTGTATGTATGAACAAGAAGACGGTGTTGTATCTCGTCACTCAAAGTATTCAAATCACCCGAGTGGATCGCGTGAAGAGTTGTTGAACGAGGAGTGGACACGAAGACTGTTACATGTAAGCTTGTGAATTGCTAACCAAACTCTTAAAACGAAAACTTTGAATTTCTTAAGTACCTCGACATTATCGAAGATCGTGGACGTAACCACCTATTAAAGAATCGCCTTTCTATTCAGAATGAGAGCCGTGGATAAATAAATGATCGAATTAATCGTTACTAAGAATATACCTTGTAATAGACCTGAGCGAAATAAACGAATACGATAATGAAGCAGAAAGTATTGTCAAATATGAATAGTAATCTGCTATCACTAAGCCCCGAGAGTTGACTTCTCTCGAGAGCAACCCAAGTAAAAAGTGACAACACCGTGAAACTGGCCATGACGATATGCTACAGGAATCGTGATGTGATAGTGCGATAGAGAACAAAACAACACGAGAGAGACTTATGCAACAACCTCTAAAACTCGAAGAGCCTAATGGTGAAACAATTTCCTAAACTCCATTGTCGACCACACGGAAGTGTGAACGTTACGAAACAATCTTGCTAATCAATGAGAAATCTTGAGAAAAATCTTATGCTGCTGTCATTAGCTAACGACACAAATGAACTTCGAATACGAACTGAATGATTGATCAAATAACTGATGCTACGATATTTGGAAGCTTAAGTATTGTTTGAACGTGCTACGGAGGTAATCCATATATATTTGTTGAAAACAAACTCGAGAAAGACCAAATTTTGAACTCGACGAATTTGTCGCATGTCTTGAACGAGACACCAATACAAAACTCCTATGATAATACCTCAAACGATAAACGAAGAGAATTTCCGTGGGGATGGCGTGAGCATTCACCTAACCATGATCGTGATGCGAATGTGAAACCAAATCTTAGAAGAATTTCGGGGACGAAATTCCTTTAAGGGGGGAAGAAATGTAACGCCCCAGAAACCGGTCTAGAAGTTATTTAATAATTAAATAAATAAGAATTATTTATTTACGATGATTCATTCTTTTAAAGAATTAAAATATATTTTAGAGATTTTAATCGTCTCAATATAATGAGACTAATCTGATTATATTTGTAAAGATTTAAAGTAAAAGATTAATCGATACTAATTAAAGAAAAGAATTAATACGGACCAGGTGGAACTAGTAAATACTTGTGGAATGATCAAAAAAGTTATACTGTTGGGTAAGGATTGACGAATCGAATCCAACTATGCGAACGGATCTTAATTCGGAGCAAGTTGGCCCGAAAAGAGGGTGTCTTTACTCAGACATACTAGACAAGTTATTTTAAATTACGGAATACTCCTCTCTGGTTTCTTCTTCTTTCTTCGATTGAAACCGCCGCGACCAGTCCCGTCTCCCTCTTCGATCTGACCGAGCAGCACCACGACGGCGACGGCGATTCCCACCTGCGACACAGGCGCATGACGATCGAAGGCAAACCAGAACCCCGGCGGCGATGACACGCGACGACAGCGGCCCAGGGATTCGGCGGTGAGCAGACCCGACCCGGTTCCCTGGTGGCTCCCTCTCGATTTCCGGCGGTTGTGCGGAGGCGGCAGGTGGCGTGGGTGACGAATTCCGCCGGAAAACCCCTGTCCAGCGACCTCTGTTCCGACTACGGTGGATCAGTGGCTGGCGACCCTCTTTTACGGCAAAGCGCAGCGTTAGACCAACGACGATTTGGTGACCCCCTTGGTTCCGACGATGATCAGGCAGCAAGTCAATCCGGCCAGAACAGGCAGTTTCGACAATCAATTTGGGTGACCGGCTCCGGGTGAAGTTCCTTGGAATTGAATCGAACCAACGAGGTGAGTACGTGGACATCTAACACTAGAATATGCACGTATGTTTGAAGTTTCGTTCATAATTGTTAACGTGGTTGATCTATGTGATTTATCTGTGTAATTGTTTGTTATGGTTTCGGGAATTG